CATGGTTCAGATCCTTCTAGTAGGAGTGATTTTTTTTTTTCATTTAAAAATGTATTAAAAGCCCAGCACAGTGGTTCACGCCTGTAATCCCAGAAGCTGGGGAAGCTGAGGCAGGAGGATTACAAGTTCAAAGCCAACCTCGACAACTTAGTGAAGTCTTGTCTCAAAATAAAAAAAAAAAAAATTTAAAGGGCTGGGGATATGATTTCATGGTTAAATGCCCTTGGGCTCAATCCCTGGTACAAAAATTAAATAAATAAAAAACCGGCATCCATTTATATTCAAGTTAAGGATATCACAAAGCCAGGAAAATTGCAAGCACAGCTGTAAAATTTCAGAGTTTCTCTGGACCAGGGTTATGGGGTCTTAGCAACACATTTAGGGTCCCCTAGCCATGCAGGGTATTGAACCCGGGGCACTCTACCACTGAGCTACATCTCCAGCCCCTTTATTAATCTTAATTTGATAATGTTGAACACATCATGCCTTAGCTCAGGAAATCTCTGGATCCTTTGAGCCAGTGACTTCTGTATATTCCTCAAACTAATCCAGGACTTTCTGATTCCTGTTTAACTCCTGGCGTTGGGTGTGTTTTGCTGTCTACCACACAGACCCCTGCTCCACAGCCCCCTGAGTTTACTGCAGGTGGATCCTACTGGGTTGTAATAGGTGTGTTTGGCAACCTGCTGGAATGTCACAAGGTATGATCCTAAGCAGAAAGAACGTAGACTTCCTCGTGCCTGCTGCTACACACAGCTGGAGGCTACAGGATGTAAAACCTCATCTCTTGACTTTTCCCGTTGAGTCATCTTTGGGGCCTTATAAGTCCATGTGTAGCATTTCCCAGAAATACCTTCTCTTTTGACGACTGGCCCTCTGCCTGGCCTTCTCCCCAGGGTTTAGATTTCCTCCTTCCACACCTGCAAGATCAAAGCCAAAGAAGACGCCCTTGCCTGGCTCCATTGCAGCTGATCACATGTCTTCATGGTCCTCTGTGTGACTAGGGCAGGGCCTCTCAGATCCCTCAGAGCAGAGAATCTGGAAGCTGAACAGCAGTATTGACCTCAGCAAAGCTTCATGTATTCACCTTGTCATTTATTAAGCTCTGACTGTGTGCCAGGCATCTAAGATACAATGATAAGACAGGCAAGACTCCTGCCTTAATGAAGAATAACTAAAACAGCAAACATTAATGGAACACTTGCCACCTTCTAGGCACTATGCGCAGCCTTTATAAGAATGACTTTTTAGCCAGCTTTTCACAGTGGCAGGGTGGTAGCCAATGAGGTTTATCCAAGGCGTGATTGTTACTATTTGAAAACTTTTCCCAATATCCTGCCATGACAATTTGCAACATGTAGTCAGCACTAGTTTAATAAAAGAAAGAAAAAAATTGGCTTTTCAATTCTCATGAGTCCCTCACCCTGGACTCTGCCCAGAATAGTCAGTACCATTATTAATCTCATGATTTGTACCCAGGGTCTACCTGACCCATATTAATGTCATTTGTCTTTCTTTCTTTCTTTGGTACTGAGGGTTGAACCCAGAGGCATTTTACCAATGAGCTAAGTCCGCAGCCCTTGTTTACTTTGAAACAAGGGTCTCACTGAGTTTCTTAGGTCCTTGCTAAGTTGCTGAGGCTGGTTCGGAACTCACAATCCTCCTGTTTCAGACCCCTGAGAAGCTAGCATTACAGGCACACGACACCAGCCCAGCATGTAGCCCAGCAAAATATCCATTATTTTGGATAAGAATGTGTTGATATGCTGAGGAGCCATCTGCTTCACTGCACAGAAATTCCAGAAGGTACAGCTTATGGTGGGTCTCTGCATCCTCAGCAAACCAGGTCCCGAGCAGGAAGAAAGGGAGGAAGGAGGGAGAGAGAACCCCTGACAGGTGCCTCCACACAATGGAGGAGGCAAACCTTTGCCAGTGTTTGGTCAGCTGTGCGCACTTAGAATGAGCCCTGGAACTGGGGTCAGGTAGACCATGGGTACAAATCATTCATTACTCACCAGCAGTGTGACCTTGAGCAAGTCACCCTCAGAGCTCCCCCCACCCCCCGTACTGGGGATTAAACCCAGGGGTGCTTTACCACTGAGCCACATCCCCAGCCCTTTTTGAGACAAGGGTCTCACTGAATTGCTGAGGCTAGCCTCCAACCTGCAGTCCTCTTGCCTCAGCCTCCCAAGTCACTGGGATTGCAGGAGTGCGCCACTGCATCTGGCAGTTTTTGAATAATGGGGAAACGGGAGTAAGTCCTGTGCCTTGCTCTGGGCCAAGTCCTCTCACATATGGATGCTCTCACTGTCCTCCCTTTATAGGTGAGTAAGCAGACCCAGAAGTGGGAGGGCTGGGTGTGGCTCAGTGGTAGAGCACTTTCCTTGCATGTGTCATACCCTGGGCTCAATCCCCAGCATGAGGAAAAGAAAGGAAAAAAAAAAAGAAGTGTGCCCAAAAGCTCTCAGCTTGTCACCCAGTAGGCCTGGTGGCAGAGGCCAAAAAGTGAAACTTCCCCATAGGGAACTCCTTAGAAATCTACGAGGGGGTGGTTTGGGTGTCACAATAAGAGGGAAAGGAGCCCAAACAACTCTGTATGGTTAAGTATTGTCCCATGTCCTGCTAGATAGTCATGTAAGTAAAAAACTTATTTTTGATGATCTGAACCTGAAACCTAACCCTGTCCCATGTGATAATAAAGGAGTTATTTTGCTACCACAGTGATAAAGCCCACCTCTTGCTGGGCTGAGTGGCACTGGCCTGTGATCCCAACTACTTGGGAGGCAGCCTCAGCAATACAGCAAGACCCTGTCTCAAAACAAAAAGGGTGTGGCCAGGTGTGGTGGCACACACCTGTAATTCTATGGATTTGGGACGCAGGAGGATCACAAATTCAGAGCCAGCCTCAGCAATTTAGTAGGGCTCTAGGTAACTTAGCGAGAACCTGTCTCAAAATAAGAAATAAAGGCCTGGGGACATGGCTCAGTGGTAGAGTACCTCTGTATTCAATCCACAATACCAGGGAGGGAAAAACCAAAACCCAAACCACCATGTCCCAGGAACACATATTTCCTAGTTTTCTCCATGTCGCCTTATCTTGGTGTGTTATCTGTGTTTAAATTAGGGTTTTGTTTTTTTTTTTTCAAACCTTTTAATTCATGGGTTAAGGAAAAAAAAATAATGTCTTGCAGTCAAACAGCCTCAGAGCAGCTTCCCTGAGGATGTATTTCGGGGAGGAACCCAAGGAATTAAATTTAATGTCAACACGAAGCAATTAAACAGAAATTAGGTATTGCTGGATCAGGGAAAAAAGTTCATTAAAGGAATCAAGTCTCAGTGTTTTTCTAAAGATAAATCCCAGCTATTCTTTTTTTTTTTTAGAGAGAGAGAGAGAATTTTTTTAATATTTATTTTTTAGTTTTCGGCGGACACAACATCTTTGTTTGTATGTGGTGCTGAGGATCAAACCCGGGCCGCACGCATGCCAGGCGAGTGCGCTACCGCTTGAGCCACATCCCCAGCAAATCCCAGCTATTCTAAGAGCCATTAAATCTTAATGACAGAGCCAATTTGTTGGTGGTGTTTATAAATGAATTAGCATATTTCTGTAGCCCAGGAGTTTAGAATTGTGATCACTTTTCCATTTTAGAGAAATCAAATCTCTAAGAAGATTTACAAGATGGGGAAAAAAATTGCCAAGATAAAAAACTAATTTTTTCTGTATTTGTCCTCTTTAGGTATTGGGAAGACCAAAGAAAGGATTTACCAAGAAAGGACTGTCGCTGTAGACATTCACTACAAACCAAGAGCTATTTGGATATTTACACTATTATCCGACAGTTATCCAGCACCCCATGTCTGCAGGCTAGGAATACAGAGATCCAGAGATGTAGGCTTGATAATTACAACAGAATGTAGAAAGACTTACATGAATTAAGAGGAAACTTGGAGAAAACAACTAGTTTTTACAGATTTTCTTATCTCGGTGGAAGATATTTATTAGCTCTAATAGTTTCTTTGTAGACCCTTTTGGGTCTGCTAGGTATAGAATCATGTCATCTGCAAATAGTGATATAAATTAGGGTTCTTTTTCCTCCTCTTGTCATCTGGTCTGTTATTATCCCAACTCTGCTTTGATTGGAGAGGCCTTCCGTTTTCACTTTTGTTTCCTGAGTGTTAAAGAACAGGAAAACAAAAGCTAAATTTAGTTGATTCAGGAATGCAAGCAGAAGGACAGCTTCTGAGCAAACCAAGGGTGACCCTGGGCTATGAGAGGGCTTGGGTGAAGGACGGGATTTGGTGACACTGAGATGACACAGGATTTAATAGATTCACAGGAGTGTGAGCAGAGATTCATAGCTGGCCTGGCCTGAGAAAGTCTTGCTTCATTGGAAACCAGAGTGCTTTGTTTGTTTTTTAAAACGAGGAACATTTTGTCTGTCCACCTCCCTGCCAAACCACAGCAGGGTGGAGAAAATGTGGGTGGGCACCTCTCTGGGCCAAAATGACTCATATGATTTAGATCCTTTAGGCAAACATGGAATATTTCATTTCCACATGTTTCTTATCTAAACTTAAAATTAGTATAATTCCTATTAAATTCACATTTAAGGACAGGTGCCATGGCACTCATGGGAGGATCTCAAGTTCAAGGCTGGCCTGGCCAACTTAATGAGATTCTGTTTCAAAATTTAAAATAAAATTTAAAAAGAAAGAAAAAAAAAGACCTGCAGACCTAACTCTGTGATAGAATGCCCCTGGGTTCAGTCCCTAGTACCAAAAAAGTCACACTTAATTCATCCTTAAATTCACAATAATTCATAATTTTTTTGTACAGGGGATTCGATCCACCCAGGGGTGCTTTACCACTGAGCTACCTCCCCAGCCCTTTCTGTTTTTTATTTTGAGCCAGAGTATCACCAAGTTGCTGAGGGTCTCACTAAGTTGCCCGGGCTGGCTTCAAACTTGTAATCCTCCTGCCTCAGCCTCCCAAGTCTCTAGTATTACAGGTGTGTGTACCACTAGGCCCGGCAGACTATGATTTTATCATTTTATTATAAATTAACTTCTTCTGTCCCCTACATATTACAGGGAGGGCACTATGTTAGAAAATGTGACCAGCCTTTATGTAGCCCTCGCACAGCGTCAGGCAATGCTGTGAGGGCCTTTCCGTGAATTCGCTCATGGACTCCTCTCACTAATTCTACGGTGTAGATAGAATGTCATCTTGGTCTTTAGAGGAAACTGAGGCACAGGAGGTGCAGTGACATGTCCAAGGTCACAGAGGCAGGAGTGGGTGGCGACTTTGAACACAGGGCCTGAGGCTACAGAGTCTGTGTTCTCAGCCACCTGGCTGTTCTCCCTCAGGAGAGGACAGTCACTCAGGGACTCCATGCAGGATATTAAGGGAATTTTCCTTAAAGAGACAGAGGTGGGAAGCACTCGCAGGTCACATGGTATGTTGAAGTCCCCCCTCCCTCCTTCTTCATTCCATATTTGACTACCACAACCTGAGTCTGAGCCTGATTGGGGAACAGCATGGGGGCAACTCTGTGGCCAGACCCAGGCCCAGGAGGAGCCAGTGGCAGAGGGTGGAGGCCGGACAGGAAGGAGTGGCCCAGGTGAGGCCCTCTGTCTCTGCTGGCCAAGATCTCAAGGACTGTTTATGCCCAGACCCTGCCTCCTCCCTCTTCCCCCTGAGAGGCGGGAGTCTCCACTGTGGAAAAATACCCAGCAGAGAGGGAGGAGCAGAGGCTCGGGCCCAGCTGCCGGTTCCCCTCCCAAGACCAGCACTTATGGGCTGGGTTCTGGGAAAACCAGATTGCATCAGACAGGCCCGAAGGCCTGAAGCCAGTCTGTGGTCGAGGCCAGCCTTATAAGTAGGGCTGAGTGAGCCGGAGCGCACAGGCACTTGGCCCGAAAACCAGACACAAACAAAGCCCTAGGAGAAGAGGAGAGGCAGAGAGCGGCCAGACATGATGGCCACCTTGCCCCCCGCCACCAGCCCCTCCCGGCAGCCCCCAGGCCCAGAGGACGAAGAAGCCAGCCTGGATGAGTATGACCTCTACGGCCTGGCCCACCCTCACGTGGGTAAGGCCACTCCACCACCTCCCCGGTCCTTCCACTTCCGAGCCCCTCCGCCACCCCAGACCCCGCTACTTGTCTCCCCCAGGACTTGCCCTTCTCTGGTCAGCAGGTTCCTGTGGCCCCCATAGTCATGTCCTTCTAATCCCTCAGCCCTGGGGCATCACACATCTGGGGGACCCTCATTCCACATATGGGGAAACAGCAGGCAGGGGTGCTGCTGTCCCCTGGTTGCATGGTGACGCCCCTCCAATGTCCCTGCCCCTTCTACCCTGGCAACCCCCATCAACCACCTCTCCCCTGCATCACGGTTCACCTCCATTTCCCTCTCTGGGTACCAGCCGGTGGAGGCCGGAAGGGTCGCACCAAGAGAGAAGCTGCTGCCCACACCAACCGCCCCAGTCCTGGAGGGCACGAGAGGAAACTAGTGACCAAGTTCCAGAACTCAGAGAGGAAAAAGGCCCGGCGCTGAGGCTGAGCTGGAGGTAAGGAGCCAGGGAACAATGGGACCAGGGGAGGTGTCTCTGCCGTGAAAGGTTGGGCCTGAAGGTGTGCGGGGAGGGAGGAAGAGCTGCCTCAACATCAGAATAAAATTAGACGAGTTTCCCAGCACACAGAGAGGAACGCAGAATCTTTCCAATGGAGGGACATTTGGTCTACAGCGGGGGAAACTGAGACCAGAGAGGGTCAGGCTCTTCTCTGGCATCACAGACGAAGTGAGTGGGAAAGGCCAAACCTGAACCCAGGCCTCTGTCCTTTCCTCCCCCCAGATGAGGCCAGACCACGGACACTCCACCCAGACATGAAGACAGGATTGCCAGGAATGACCCAGAGGCAGCATCCGAGCCTGCCAGCCCCTGACCCTAACCCCAGGACTCACCCCGCCTGAGTGAGGCCCCAGGGACCCACCAAGGAAGCATCTCCAGGCCCAGCAAAAGGGCAGGCTATGGGCAAGGCAGGGATGGACAGGCAGAGTCAGGACGGTCCACCCCCCTCAAAAGAAACGCTGAAGACACTGGAGCCCCCACCCAGGGCACAGTGACAATAAACAACTCTAGCAGCAGCAGCTCGTCTCTGTGTCTTGTGTCCTGGCTCTGTGTGTATTTTTCGTTGGGCACTTTCTGCCTGTGTGTCTCCTGTGCATGAACCAACAAGAGAATCTGTGGTGAGCTGGCTCTTCCTGGAGGGACCCAGGCTGGACGCCGTCTCTTGTTTTTATACATACGCTCCAGTGTGTGCATTTCTGTGATTTCTTATGTGGTGTAAGGGCATTTCCTGTTTCTTTGCAGTGATGCCCGTGAAACGTGCCCCTCCTCAGTTCCTATCCATTCTTGGATATGATGATGTCACCTTTATATAAAACTGCCTTTGGAAGAGATTGTTAGTTATTGATGCCATCTGCAAGATGGAAAAACAAAATAAAATTCAAAATATGGAGGGATTTGCTTTCCGTGACTCAGGGCTCAAATTCAAGGACTCAGATTGTTCCCAAAGGCCCTTCCAGGAGAGGGTTCTGGGCAGTCAGCTGGGGAAAGATTCTAACCCAGTGTGGTCGGTCTCAGGACCAGCTTTCGAAAGAACGTGGTGTAAACAAGAATGTGGTTGGACCTAAGTGGATATAGTGATTACCAAAGATTCAGACAACACAGGCTAGAAAGTTCTTTGTCTCTCACACAACAGCCCACAGGGAAGGGGCTAAAATGGCAACTCCAGGCTTGTGGGCTAAAATGGCAACTTGTGGGCTAAAATGGCAACTCCGGTGTGTCAGGGATTCCTGCTACTTTTAACCCATTGTTCTGTCATGCTCAAAACATTCTGTATTTGGGGTAAAATTGGGAGTTCATAACCAACTTGAATCTATTGTATGAAATATGATATGTCAATAGCTTTATAATGTTTTGAACAACCAATAAAAAAAAAATTAAAAAATAAATAAATAAAAAATTAAAAAAAAACATGGCTTCCACTCCAGCCCAATGTAGCTGCTCTAGTACCTGTCATCACACCTGTCTCTCAGCCCATGGAAGAGGTAAGAGACCAGAGGAGACGGTACCTATTCATTTCTAAGGGCATCATCTAAAAATAGAACCCTCAGATCTGTTCAGAATTTAGTCACATGGCCACACCCAACTACAAAGTTCTGGTAAAGTAGTATTTAGTTGCTTAAGCCCCATGGTTGACCAAACTTGGATGAGGGCAGGGTTTTACTATTAAAAGAAGTGGGAAAGGTGGGCTGGGGTTGTAGCTCGGTGGTAGAATGCTTGCTAGCACGTGTGAGGCACTGGGTTTCATCCTCTGCACCACATAAAAAAATAAAGCAAAGGTATTATGTCCATCAACAGCTTAAGAAAGAAGAAGAAGCAGGAAAGAATGAATTCTGGAAGAAACTAGCAAGCGACGTTGCCCACTTACAGACCCAACAGAAATAGGAGGAGAAAGCCCTAACTCCAGCCCGGACTTCACCTTCCTCCTTTTCTCCTGTCCCTTCCATATAAGCTCTAGGTTTTTCTTAGGCACCCAAGAATATGGACAGAGGACAGAACCTGTTGGAGCAGTAACAGATCACAGCAGACTGTGACTAGCAGGAGCACCCAGGGACCTCTATTCAGCCACCTCCCCTGAGTCCAGCCTGATAACAGAATCACAGAATCCACACCCAGCTGCGAAAAGACATCTGGTCGACCCCACCCCTCACAGCACAGGATGGCCGCTGTTTACCCAAACTCCATGGGGCTCGGGACCTGGCTTCCTGTGGAGGTTGCCTCATCCACCCTGGGGTGACTGCTTGATGCGGGCTGAAATCTGAGTCGTCTAAACCACCTGCCCCTGAACAGGCTTCTGTTTTTCTTGTCCTTTCTGTCACACACCTTGCGAAGCTTAGCTCACGGGCCTCCTTCTCTTTAGTCCTGTGCCCTGGAGCACCGACTCCTGACCTCCCCACAGCCCCCTTCTCTGGGATTGCACGGTGAGCCTCAGCCCAGAGTCTCATCCTCAAGATGTCACGGGGCTCCTCCAGATTTCTCCTGGAGCCTTGTAGATTATTCATTCAATGTTTACTAGATACCTACCATGTTGCCAGGGCCCGACCGAGATATGGACTGCAAGGAGGGACAAATGAGACCCTGGTATGATGGGGACCAGGCCTCATGGCCACTATCAGCTTTACAACCCAGGGCAAATGACAGCCCAGCACCAGCCATCGTGCTCTTGGCCTGGCACTGACCTGGACAGTCAGCTTCAGAAAATCCCAGCGGCAACTCCATGTTTCGGATTTCTGCTCTGTGGCAACTTTTTGTTTGCTTATTTGTATTTTTTTTCAGTGCTGTGGATCGGACCCAGACCCTCTCACACACTGAGTAGCAATCTATCACTAAGCTACCTCCCCAGCCCCGTGACAAGTGTTTTATAGTATTTGTTCCATGTCATCCTTATAATAACCCAATAGGACATATTATTATTGATCTCATTTTTTTTCAGACCAGAAAACTAAGGTTCAGAGAGGTTAAGTAATTTGCCCAAAGTCACACAGCCTCGGGTCTGTCTGATTTTCAAAGCCTGGACTTTTTTCTTTTCTGCTACATGCCTGAAAAGAACCAAAAGATATCGACAATGAGGGATCCTAGACTGTAATTAATTTCTGGAGAATTATTCCTCTGAGCCTTCTTTTCCTCGCCTGTCAAATGGTGAGACTAGTCTCCCTTCTGTCAAAGGAGAAAGTAAAGGCTGAGAAGTGCCTGTCCCTAGCTGTTGCAGCCACATCCCAACAAGAGTTCTTTGCCTCTTGCCAGGAGGCCCTACACACCACCCCTCACTCTTGGCCTCTGATTGGCCTTCCCCTGCCTCACCCCTCCCTGGCACAGCCTCCGCCTGAGAGGCCTCCTCTCTGTTCCCAGAACTGTCAGGGCAATTCTTCAATCACAGAACTTCTGGATCAGGAAGGGCCCTGTTTAGAATCTCCCTCCTCTGTCTCTGCCCCCTCTTTCCTATCCCCTTTCTTTTTCTTCTTCTGGTTGCATGTAATGTATGTTTCCCCATTGGTGGGGGAAGGGGTTCCTCCTGAGAACTGGAGAAATCACTGACTTGTTTCCCCTTGGGGGCAGACAGAAACTTCCCTGTGAGGTTTCCATAACCCAAAGGATTCCCAGCAAATTGTGAAGAATTGAAAAACTCGCTACGGGGTTGTCCTGGTCCTCTACATACCCAGTTTCTCAAAAAAACAGCCCAAATATATATATCTTTAAATCTCAGAATGACCCAAAGTTAATTTTCAACCAGCACTCCTTCAAGATAATACTAATAATAGTCCTAGTCATAGCTGCCACTATTGATGATCTGGCTCCGGGTTTTCCCAACTGTGTCTTTCACATAGAACTCTCGTGATTTCTGCTGTAAGGGCATTCAAACTATACTGTACTGACTTAGCCTTAGAAAACTGGCCCCTTGCCTTTTACACTTTTTTTTAAAAGAAACTATTTAACCACCCAAAATGGAAAAACCACAGTTAGGTGTCGTAATTACAAATTAACTGTAAAAATAAATACCTAACTATAGCTTCTTTTAGAAGTTCATCTGTCAGCCAGGTGCAATGGCTGTTCACCTGTGCATTACCTACAATGACTTTGTGTACCAAGAGTCACAAGTGTAAACACTTAGGGGAGCACACAGTGTGATACTGTGATATAATAAGAGAAATATACTAGTTGCCAGGTGCTATGGCACATGCCTGTAATCCCAGTTACTGGGGAGGCTGAGGCAGGAGGATCATAAGTTTGAGCCCAGCCTCAACAACTTACTGAGGCCCTAAGCAACTTAGCCAGATCCTGTCTCAAAATGAAAAAAGAGTGCTAGGGATGTGGCTCAGTGGTTAAGCACCCCTGGGTTCAATCCTCCATACCAAATAAAATAACAAAAAACACAATGATACATAAACGCAGGTTCAGTGTGTCTGCAGTATGATGATTGTTGGGTTAAATTTCTATTTCCTGTTCTTTTTCTGCCAGATGCTCCATGGAGGCCAGGCTGAGGTCTCCCCAGGATTCCCTGTCCCTACAGGACTGCTCCAGAGTGGAGCTGGGAAGGGGCTTGGAATGCCCTTCACCTCAGCATCCTCTGTGAACACTGGGGTTTGCCAAGATGGGCCCCCTTCCTGCACTTCCTGTCTGCTCTTTACTTTCATCCCACACAGCCCTTGCTCTTGGTTGGTGTCCTCATCCCACATCCCCCATGTCACATTGGAGTTCAGGAGCACCATTGGGGTCTGTGGAAAGGGGAATAAGATCCCCTCTGTCCTCAGTCATCACCCAACTATTCAGAAGCAGCAGGACACAAGAGCCCTTTCTCTTTGCTTTCCCTTTAAATTCTCTCTTTCCTTGACTTGGGGGACTAGTGTAATGTTTCCCTCCTCCTCTAAAACTCACGTTGAGATTTCATTGTCTTTGTAACAACTTTAGGAGGGGGAATCTTTTAAGTGGTAATTAGGCCTAGAAGGTTCTGCCATCATGAATCCTGAGTAGAGGGGACTAAAGGCATATGCTGCCGAAACCCGCTGTTAATGTGGGGTTTGGTTTGTTTTTGCAGTAATGGGGCTTGAACCCAGGGCCCCCTGTGTGTTGGGCAAGTGCTCTGCCACTGAGCCACATCCCCAGCCCCACTGGGGGCCTCGATATTAGACTTCTCAGCCTCCAGAACTGTGAACCAACAGGTTTCCATTAGTTAGGAATTACTTGTTCTCCGTGTTCTTTTACAGCAGCCAAAAATAAACTAAGAAACACCCCAACACGAGTGGCAGGAGAGCCCTGTGGCCCTCACTGATGAATCAAGAGGCACTGAGGGTGGAAGGGGCTGGGGGAGGCGCCATCTTGATTTTCCCATATGCCCATTTTAGCCACCCACAAGGATGGCTATCACCGCCACGCTGAACACTCACCAAACCTGCAAGAGGGAAAAGACCTGGAGCTCAGGTCACTGCTGGTCCAAGATGGAGCCAAGAGTGGACCAGACGTGGTGACCCCCATGTCCCTATTCTCCAGAGAGTACTGTGGCCTTATTTTTATGACTAAGAGA